AAAAATTTATAATAAACATTAAATAATTAATTTTATTAAATAATTATTAATTTTAAATAATAAAAAATAATAATAATTAATAATTCAGAATTTATAATAAATAATATAAAAATACTTATAAAAAATATAAAAATATTAAAATCATAAATTTTTTAACTAATTAAAAATAATATATAATAAATATATATTAATAAAAAATATTATCTTTATTATATATATTTACAAAATAATAAATAATTATTATAAAAACCTTTTATAATTTAATATATATAATAATTTATCAATTTATATAAAAAAATATTAATAAATTATAAAAATTTTAATATATATATAAAAAATTAAATTAGATAAATAATAAATAGTAATATTTTATTTTTATAAATATTTTTTTAAATTATATATTTTATTAAATATAATTTTTAAATAATAAAATTAATAATTTATATATATAATACTTAATATATTAAATAAATATATTTATTAAAAATTAATAATTACAAATAATTTTTTTTAAAAAAATTATATATATAATGATTAAATATATTTATTTATATTAAATATTATATATAAATAAACAATTAAAAATGTTAATTTATTTAAATATAAAATAATATTATATATATATATATATAATTATATAAGTAATTAAAAATTATTATAAAATAATATATAAAAAATATAAATAAATAAATTTTATAATTAATAATTACAATAAATTTTATATTTTATAATAATTATATTAAATATTTTATAATAAATAATAATTGTAACCATTTATATATAATAATAAAAAAATTTTATTAATTCTGTATTTATTATAATAATATTTTATTAATAATATTTTATAAATGACAAATATAAATTGTTTTTTTTCTTTTATTTTTCATTTTAATTTTTTATTTAATTTTTTATTTTTCATTCTATTACTTTAAGTAGACATATTAAATAAAATTTTTAACTCAAACATATCAAATTTAATTATATATACATTATTTAATAAGTTTATATTATTTTATTTACTTATTTAATTTATTCAAACATTTGATATCCTTAAATACCCATATAATTTTTTTATTAATAATTATAATTGAGAATAACTTTTTATTTTTTTTATATATAACATTTGTACTAATAAAAATTATATATCAATAAATGATTTATTCTGATTTATTTGTTAATGCAAATTCTTAGCATCAATGGGATATTCGAATTCATTTGTTTTATGAAGATAAGATAATAATAGTTATGTTTATTTTCCTCATATAGGTAAGTTATCTATACCTTTAATAGTAATAAAGCAAAATTTGCTCTTATTGTAGGGGAGCAAGTATACTTTTAGAAAATTTAATTTCAAAAATACTGGATATTATGGTTTAATAGACTGAAAAACTAATTTAGTATTTAAATTTAATTTTATGAATTATTCGGAGAAAACTTGAAAAAAATAAATGGCATTGAAAAATTAATTTTTTAATGAAAAAGGTAATTAGATGTAATTAGCGTCTGTCTAATATGGCTTTAATTGATGAGCCTTTATTTTAGGGAAATTTCAATTTTTATAAATATAATAATTAGGATTTTTTTTTGTAAATATTTTGTGAAGGTTTTTAAAAATTTGACTGTAATAGGATTTACATAAAATTAAATATTTTTATATTTTTTTTGTATCTTTATAATCTAAATAAATATATAATAATTATATATTTTTATAGTCTTTTTCTTTTCTTATAATAATTTTTTTTTTTTTGATCTTTTAAGGTTGTAAAATAACTTATTTTATAATTTAAAATGAAAAATTGTTATTTAAATATATAAATAATTAAAAAGAATATTATATTTATTAAAATATAGTATATTTTTAAATGATGTCTTTGAAGCAAATATATATATTAAAAATAAAAATTATTTATTAAAAAGGCACAAAATTTATTTTTTATAAATTTTAAATTCATTCAAATTTAAATTATGATCGAGGACTTTTAAAACAAAAAAGTAGATAAATTTATAATATTAAGATTATTGAATATTTTTAATAATTTTTTAAATTAAGGGAAATTAATAAAATAAAATATTCAAAAATTAATAATAATCTATAAATAATTAAAATAGTGATTTATACTAGATTAAATTAATTTTATATTGAATATAAAAAATATAATTTATCTAATTTTTTTTTTTATTTATAAAGAAATATCATTTATATAAAAACATATATAAACAAAATTATCTAATAAAAAAAAAATTAACTAAAAAAAAAAAAAATTAACTTAAAAAAAAAAAAATTAATTAAAAAAAAAATGGCAACCCAAAAAGCTGAAGAAAATAAATAATATGATTATGATTAATATGGTTTTTATTTACCAATTGAGCGTATTTAAATAGAAAATAAGCAAAAAGAATTAAAGAAAATAAATGCTCGAGTAGAAAAATGGCGTAAAATGCTTCCGAACTTAACCCATTTAATAAAAATTTAAGACAAAAAATTAAAAGAGAGAATCCGTAAAGGAATTCCAGATGGTATTCGTTTAAAGGTATGGCCCGTATTAGCTCAAATAGATTAAACTAAAGAAGCATACAGTACTAAGTAATTCCAATAATTAATTCAAGAATAAGATTTTCCCTACTAAGTGGACATAGCCGCAGATTTAAAGCGTACATTTCCTAATAATTAATTATTTTAAAACCATAATAAAACTGGTTTAGAAGCTTTGAATAATATTTTAAAAGCCGTTTCTTTAACACACGCTGATATGGGTTATTGCTAAGGTTTAAATTTTATTGCTGCTGCATTTATGATTTATGTAAATGATGAGGAATCTTATCATATAATAAATAGCATGCTTATAAATTATGATTGTATGAAAATGTTCTTGGATGTAGGAAGTATTAGGAAATAACTATTTGTACATGATTAATTAGTGAAGAAGTTTTTACCTGAAGTAGCTGAGGTTTTATAGAAGAATTGCGTAGAGAGCATTTTTTTTGCTACTGGATGGTATATGACTTTATTTAGTAGTGTATTACCTTTTTAGTATTTTTTAAGGGTTATGGATATTTTCTTTAATGAAAAATGGAAAATCGTATATAGAGTTGCTCTTGCGATTTTAAAGTTGAAAAAAAAAGAAATTCTTTAGTGTAAAAGTATGGAAAGTTGTATGAAAACTTTAAAGGATTTTTCGTATTTTGAGACTAATTAGATTAATTAGGATAAGTTCTTTTAAAATGCTTGTAAAGATTTTATTTTTTCGAAAAAGTTAATTGTAGAATTGGAATAATAATATGATACGTAGTTTCCAACTGATAAGACTAAAATAAAAGTAAATAGACCCGTTTAAGAAAGAGCAAAAGAATCTGAAATGTTATAAAAAGAATTAGAAGATAATAAATAATAAATTCAAAATAATAATAATCATTAATAAGAATAAGATGAATAAAAATAAAATATTTAAATTTAGTCGCCGGAAAAATCAAATTAAAACTCTCCTTTGAAAAACTCATAGGAACAAATAAATGAAAATAATGAAGATATTGTTTTAGATGATTGAATAATTTGTTTTAATTTTAATAAATAAATTTATATAAAAATATATTATTATATTTGATAAGTATAATATATTGATACATATTTTATTATTATAAATAATATTATTATTAATTGAGGTTTAAGATTTTATAAAATAATATATATTTTATTATTAAAAAAAGAAAAAAATTAAAGATATGATTTATTTATTCGGCCTTATATATTTTTTAAAAATAAGTATAACTTAATTAATAATTAAAAAAATTATATTTTAATTAATGCAAGAAAAATTTTAAATTAAGAATTTTTTAAATTAGAAATTTATTAATATAAATTTATTAAAAAAAAATATTATTTATTTTGTATTTAAATAGAAATAAATATGTTTTAATATAATTTAAAAGCCAAAACAACATGCATTTAATATTAAATAATTTAGGTAAGAAAATAAATATCTTAATCCATATAATTTTCTTTAAAATATATAAAAAATTAAACAATTTTAAAAATATAATAACTATATATTTAATATTTTTATATATAAAAAAGAAAAAAAGAAAATCATTTCTATTTTCTAATATCAACATCCTCTTCGAATGAAAAAGAGCCACTATTTTCTTAACTATCACTATTAGAAACATTTAATTGAGCATCATCTTCATCTTCACTTTATATTAAAGCACTTTTTTTTCCTTTTTTTGCTGAATTATTACTATTGTTATTAGTAATAACAATATTATTACTAACACTCTGAAAAATAAAAAAAATTAATTTAAAAATATATATAAAGTTGATTTTAACTTCATTTAAATTAGTATAATGATTTGGTTTTTTTCTAATATTTTAACAAGGAATTTTAGTACCTGGATGTTTTTTTGCATATTCTTTCATGTTTTCAATATAATTTAATTTAGTTTTTTCTGCTCTTTGCAAATAGGGCTTTTTTTTATTTTAAATAAAAATTATAGAAAATATCTAATATTTTTAATTTTTTACTATTTATTAATCACGAGTAAGATTTCCCCATTATTTTGCAATTAATTTAGTAATTTCTGTAATTACAGTATTAGGGTATTATTTTATAAATTTATCTTTATTATCTTAAAAATATAATATATAGGCTGTTGATGGCTTTTTTGGCATATCTGGGTCAACTACTTAATGCGATTTACCATTAGATTTTTTTCCTATTGATTTTTTAATTTACATAGGCTTTTTTTCTATATGTTGATGAGAAGATTTTTATTTTTTTAAATTTATTTTAGATAAATTAATTAATATTTTAATTTTTTTACGTAAATAATTTGAACATAGTTATTGAACATCTTCGAAAAAAACTTGGAACTTTTGTGCTAATTAAACTGTCTTTTTACATTTTTTATATATTTTTTTTTAATATCTAAAATTAAATACAATACAAATTCTTAAGTATTCATTTAAGTATATATTGTCTTTTTTTATTTATTTTTTTATTTTATTTTTTTGGTAAATTATATATATCTAAAATAAATATATAAATATATAAATATATAAATGAAAAATAAAAAATTATTTATTTGTGCATTTTTTATTATTCTTTAATTAAATTGTAAAAATTTTATTTTGTATATATTATTTATAAATATTATTTTGATGTTATAAAATCTAATATAATTTAGTTTCTAAAAATTTAATATTAAGATTAAATGCTATTAATATATAAATTTTAATAAACATAGAAATCTTTAATTATTTTAATAATAAAATTATAAAAAAAATTAAATTATAAAATTAATTTAAACAAAAAAAATTAAATAAAAAATAAAAAAAAAAAAATTAATATATAATAACTCAATATAATAATAATTATAATTTGATAATTCCTTATAATTTTCTATTTAAATATAGAAAAATTAAAAAAAAATATATAAATATAAAGATAAATATAAATGTATTATATAAATATAAATATTTAATATATATATATATATTTATATATATTATATTATATTACATTTTCTAAATAAAAAGTTTTTATGTTTCTTTAATATTTAAACCTTTAAAATTAATTTATTTTTTCCATATAAATAAATTTATTTTTATTTCATATTAATCATTATTATTTTTATATCTATAATATTTTTTTTAATAATGTATCAAATATATTTAAAATTTTTTTTACTTCTTAAATGCATTATTAATTTTTTTAGGTTTAATTTTCATAATAACAATTTTCTTTTGTTTTCAATTTATTTCTTCTTATTTATCTATAGTATAAATTTTCACAAAATTTTTTCTTATTAAAGGCGTATTTTTATATATGTTTAATATTTTTACTTTACTTTTTTTTTATTTTGTAATTTTAGTTTTTATTTATTGTTTTTTTATTTTATTTTGTTACCATTTTCATAGTACTTCAGTAATTTAGTACAAAAAAAGTTTATGTCTATTAAAAAGATTTTTTAATTAAATAAATTTTTAGGATGTATAAAAGCCTTTATTTAAAGTATAATTTTGCTAAAATAAATTAATTTTTTTTAAATTAAATTTATATAAAAATTAATAAAGACTGTCTGTATATAAGAAAACTTAATCAATATAAAAATAGGATTTTAATTAAAACATCAATATAATGCATTTATTTATATGACAAAAATTTCTTATAAAATATTAATACTTTATTAAATATTTAATTAAGAAATAATACAAGAATATATTTTGATATAAATAAAATATCAATTGATAATCTTAAACTTATTTTAAATATTTGAATTTATTGAGTTTATTTTATTTTTCAAAATAAAAAGAATGTCTTAATTTAATGTATATTAATTTTTATATAAAAAATAATTTTGTAAAAATAAAATGTATAATTATTAATTCAAAAGTATGTAAACAAATATAATTTATTATATTTAAAAAAATTAAATTTTTTAATAATAATATATAATAATTTATTTTAATAAAAAATAATTTAAACTTCATCAAATTTAATTTATTTAATCTCTAATTAATTTATTTTATCATTTTATATTTATTAAGATTATATGTTTCTAAATATTTATTTTTATTGAAACTGTTTATAGAAATATTTTTTAAATTTTTATCAATTTTTAATAGAGTTTATTTTAATTTCATATCTTAAACTTTTCCTTAATATTAACTAAGAAAACTTTAATTTTAATTTTATATTATCATTTATAATAATTAAACTAAATAATTATTATCATTATTAGGAAGAGCATTTTACAATTTTTTTAATTAAAAATACATATAGATTATTTGTTTAGATTAAAATATTTCATTATGATATTTATATATTTAAAATTTATAAAAACATTTCTGAATATATTTTTATCTTTTTTTCAAGAAATCTTCGAAATTATATAAAATATTTTAATTAGGCAAATTATACCTATTTTATTAGAATTATATTTATAAAGGCTAAAAATATTAAACAATAAGATAGATAAAATTATTTACTATAAATAAAAATTTATATAAATAAAAAATCATAATATTTTTTTGATCATAAATATTTGTTATTAATATAATTATTAAAAATATTTCTTTTATAAGTATTATTTTTATATTTAAGATTATATTTTATATGTTTTTCGTAAAAATCTTATAAAATAATAATTTAATAGATATATTAAAATTTCTATTGATTATTAGAAAATCATGAATATATATTAACTTACGTAATTTTTTTATCTTATAAAATATATAATTAAGAAAAAAATAAATTTAAAATTATTATTATTTTAATTAGTTTTATTCATTTTTTATTATATTAAATAACCATTTTATTTATAATTTAAATGCATAACAAAGTCTAAAATACTTCACAGAATTGCAAAAAAAATTAATTATATCCTAATAAAAATAATATATGTGTTAATTTTTTTTTTTCTATAGTAAAAGGTACATCTATCATATAAATTAATATTAGAATATTTATAAGAACTCTCTTCTTTAAACCCATAATAATTAAATTATTATAAAAATTAAAGTAAATAAACAAAATGAAACTGAATAAAATATATACTAATGTATATCAATTTAGTTTATTGTTTTAACATATTTAATGAAAAATAATAATTTAATTATTTATAATAAAAAGTAAAATATTAATAAAAATTCACTATTATTATGAAAAATAATTCTAATATCATATGAGAAAATCTATAAATGTAATTAAAATTTATAAATTTTAATTATTGTAATATTAAACAAAAATAATAAATATATTATTAAATTTTATTATTTATAATCATTTATAATATGTGTATTAATTTTATTAAACTTTATATATATAAATTTATATTCATACAAATAATAAAAAAATGACTTTTATTTTTTTAATATTTATTTTTATAAAGTAGTTTTAAAAAGATTTATATTATAATATTAATACAGTTGATTTATAAATATTTATGATTAATAATAAAACATAGTTGAATAAAAACAATAATAAAACATAATTGAATAAAATAATAAAACTATTATATTTAATATATTCAACTATAAATAAAAATTAACTAAAATATTAAATTTATTAAAAAATATAGGCAATAATTCGAAGTTACGTGATAAAAAATTTGCATTTTATTATTTATTTTTTAATTAATTTATAGATAAACATTTAAAAAATCATATAGTTATAAGATATATTAAAATATTATATATAATATGTTAAATAAGTATTATATTTATAATAATTTAAAAGATGTCATATTTTTTATAAATATATAAATGAATTATATATTATTAAATTATTTTATAATAACATATAACAATTATTAAAAAAAGAAAATGTTAATATATTATATTATCTTATTCTATTTTTCTATTTTATTTTTTATATATTAATTAAAACATATAAAATTAATATTTTTTGTTTTCTCTTTCTTATATTTGTCTAATTTATATTAATAATATATTTAATAATTTTCTATATTTTAAAATAATAAAAATTAAATTGGTATTAGTAAAATTATATAATAATAAAAACCTTAAATAAGATAAAAAAAATAAGAAATAAAAATAAAAAAATTTAATATAATTTAAAATATTATGTTCTAAATTATCATTATTTTTTAAAATTTCTATATTTATTTGAAGAATTATATATGTAGTTTTTTTAATTGGGATAATGACTGTTTTTATTCATTACCTAAGTATAAATAAAATAAAAGTAAATATTTTAATGATTGTTCTATTTGTTTGCAAAATTTAAATTTTCCTATAATTTCGAATTGTGGGCATTTTTTTTGTGCTGATTGTATTATTTATTATTGGAATAGTTTAAATTAATAATAATTAAATTGCCCTAATTGTAGAGCTTAAATAAACTAGTTTTATAAAGATTTTGATGAATCGAAAATTAATAATAAATAGATATTATCAAATTTAAAATATTATAATTAAAAATATTCAAACCGAAACAAAAAAATAATTGAGACAATTTAAGATACTCCTTACATTATTAAAAAATATTACTAATTTTATAAAGGATTAAAATAAATTTTATTATAAACATAAAGAATTTATAAAAATATAGGATTTATTGGTTCTTTAATTTATTTTATGTAAAAACTAAGTATATATTTAAAAAGTTAAAGCCTGGAAAATGGAATTGATTAAGAATTTATTTAAGTTAATTAGTTAGTTTGTGCTTTAATTTAATTATTCGAAAAAATAATGTAAGATTGATTATGAAAGAAATCTAAATTAAAAATAAATATACATATGTATTATAATATATTAAATATACAATATGAAATCATTTATTAAGGCTCTCTCACTGTATTATATCCCGGAAAGGATTTATTTTGTTTAATTATATAAAAAGCCTTATTTGATTAAAAAAAAAGGCCTAAAAATATTTTTTAAACATAAAAATAAAAAAATTAAATATAAAAAAAAGCAAAATAATAAATATAAATATGTCATAATTTTAAATTTGTTAATTTAATTTTATTTTTGTATATATTTATATATATTTAGTAATTAATTTTAAAACTTAACTAAAAAAAATGTTGAAAATAAATTATACTTTTTTTCTTTTTTTAAGATTATAAAAAAATACAATAAAAATAATAAAAAATTAGAAAAATATTGATCTTTTATAATTTAATTTTAAGAAATAAAATATAATATTTTTCTTTTATTAAAATTATATAAATATAATCTTAAAAAAAAAAAATTAATTCATATAAACATATATAGATTTATTTTAAATATAATAAACAAACAAAAAATATAAATTGTATATATTAATAAAAAATGAATTATATAAATATAATATAAATAAATTTTAGCAATACGTAGTTTCAATTTTATTTAAATCAATAGTTATTTATTTAATTATTTTTACGCACATTTAATTTAACATATAGATAAAGTTATTTTTAAAAACAATTTTTTAATATTTAATTTGTTTAAAAAGTAAGATATTTGTTTTAGTATAATATAAAATTAATTTAAATACTACTTAAATAATGCATTATAATAAATAATTTGATAAAAAAAATATTTTATGATAATATACCATTTTTTTTGAACAATTTTGATTATAGTAAATTAAAGTGGTAAATAAAGATTAAAAATTGAAATATTATAATAATTAAAAATATATTAAATATAAAATATATATATATATATATATAATTATTATAAAAAATAAAATATTATAATATTTATATATATATATATATTTATAATTAGAATGTTTTTTTAAGTTTAATTTTATAAAAATAATCCTTTAACATTGAATACTATTTATTCTTAAAGAATATATTATAATTTTTATTATTTAATAATTAAATATTAATATTTTATTATTAATTATCCAAAAAATATTTTATATAATATATATTATTATTAAATTTTCTAACTATTAAACTATTATAATATATTTAATATAAATATTATAAATAATTTAAAAATAAAATATAAAAAAATGGAATAACTATAAAATAAATATAAAGAGTTACTTTTTTTAAGTGAAATTAATCCTAATGACATATAATTAAAATATCTAATATTTCTACACTCATTAAATTTATAAGAACAATTATAATGTAAAAATAACAAAAAAATAATAAATACAATAATAATAATTATAAAAAAGGTGTAAATAATGAATAAATTTTCCCAGAAAATTGGAAAAATAGTGAAGCTGGTGTATATACACTAAATTATAAACAAAAACAAACAAATAACGAGCTTATTTTTAAAATAATTTTCGAATAAGAATTTATGAGTATAAATTGTGTTTAATTATAAGATACATCCAATATATATTCGATTTAATTAAAATAAAGCGAAGTAGATTTAGAAAATTTCTAAAATAATAAAAATTTTATTCAATAATACTAAAAAGAAATATTATAGAAATTATCCCCTTAAAAAAATTAACAAAAAAGCACTACATAAATACATTAAAGTCAATAAATTCCAAATAGAAATCCTTTGTATATTCCGTAAAGTTAATAACCTAATAATTTTGATATTTTAAGGGATTATGGCAGAAACGATCGTTAACCTTGTGGAGGAATGCTTTTGGGACCAAATAATTAAATATTTCAATAAGGACCTAATAGAAACCCTATGAATATTAGATTTGATTCTTATGGACCTGATGGATTGACTGGATATCCTGATAATGATTTAGAATAAGGGTATTATATTTTTTATTTATTTTTATTTTTTATTCTCTAGAAATGGAAGATTAAGAGGTCCATAAGGCGGATTTAGAGGTCCTCCAGGAGGTTTTGGACCTTAAGGAGGTTTTGGTCCTTAAGGTGGATTTGGAGGTCTAGGTGGATTTGGAGGTTTAGGCGGGCCTGGTGGATTAGGTGGACCTTCATTCTTTTGAGCTTTTAATAATTTTTTTTTTTAAAAAAAAAGAGAAAAAATATAACTAATTAGATTAAATATATATTAATATTTGCGTAATTTTTTTTTTTAGAAAAAACAAAAAAAAACAAAAATTTAATATTTTTTAATTATTTTATATATTACAATATATATATTTAATTATAATATATATTTTTTTTTTAAATAATAAAAAAATTATAATAAATCATGGCCTTATAATTATGATTTTTTTAGGATATTAAAAAAATAATAATAAATAAATAATGAAATATTTTCAAGAATTATTAAATAAATTTCTTGAAGATTTTTCTTTAGATTTCAATTAAGATAGTTTTTAAGTTTAAATTTTATTTGATTTTTCTACTTAAATATCTACTTATTAGTTATTAATTTATTAATCTTATTCATTATTAAGTTCTTAAATATTTTTATTTACAGTATTTTATTTTAAAAGAAATTTATTTTAATTTATTTTTTTCTTTTTATCTTCTATATAATCCTTTTATTAATATTCTTCTTTATTATTTATTTTTAAATTAATATTAATTTCATAATCTTAGTTTTTTTTCTCTTCTTCATTATCTTAAAAATTAACTTTTTTATCTTAAATAATTTATAATTTTTTTTAAATTTCATCTTGTTTTCTATTTAAATTTTCCTCGTATTTTCTATTAGAAATTTCCTCTTATTTTTTATTATCTTCATTATCTTCTTATCTTTTATTATTTTCATTATCTTCTTGCTTTTAGTCTTAAAGTTCCTATAATTTAATCAATTATTTAATTTCGCTATTTTTATTTTAATACAAATGATTTTATTCTTCATAATCATTTTTGTTTTTTTTATTTTCTATAAACTTTACATCTTAATTTTATTATTAATTCTAAATTTCTTACATTTTTTGATTAAATAAACCTTTTATTTCATTCATAGAACATGATTTATACCTTCCCATATATTTTATATTCTATTAATGATTATTATTTTATATATTTTTTCCACAAATAGGAGTTTTTTCAATATAATTATTATATTCTTCATCTTCTTCTTGATAATTAAAATCATCAAAAGATGTTATAATACTAATAGTTCCACACTAGCTGTAGCTTTTGATTCTCTAGACTTATTTTTCATCTTAAAATTTTAAATTATTCTAACAATTCCAGATTCTAATAACTTTATTTCTCTCACAAGTAATAATTGAATTATATTTTTTAAGTTAACCATCTATTATAGGGTCATAAATTGCATGAATTTTTGTAATTCTGGATGTATGGCCTTTAATAACTCCTATTATTTATCCTTTTTCCCAATTCCAGATATTTATAAGATAGCTTTTTAATTTCATATTATTAGCAGATGAAATTAACATATAGCTTTTTAATCTACATATAGTATTTACAACGCATTAATTTTATAATTATTTATGCTCCTTATTATTTTCAATATCCCATACTTTTATAGTATTATCAGAACTACCACTAGCAATAAAACCTTCATATAAATCCACAATGCAGTTTATTTTTTCTATATGAGCATTATTGTATATTTTTAAAGGCTTTAATATATTATTTGTTTAATTAACATTTTTCAATTGTACTTTTTTATCATCGTCATTGCTTGGACGCATTAATTTTATTCTTGTTCCACCTAACTTTGATATTTTTTTAATTTAAGAATTTTCATTTGATTTTAGTTTTTCATTTTCTTCCTATTTCTTTTTTAGTTCTTCTTCTTATTTCTTTTTTATTTCTTCTTCTTCTTTTTTTTTTAATTATTAGCCTTCTTAATCTAATTATTATTATTAAATATCTAAATTTTATATATTATTTTTATCATTATTATTATTATTATTATTATTATTATTATTATTATTATTATTATTATTATTTTTATTCTAAGACATATCTAAGTCCCATAAACATATTTTGCAATCACTACCTCCTGAAATAAGTAAGTTTTTTTTATTTAAATCATTATTATATTGCATCAAACACATAACAAATCCTTCATGATATTACAAAATGAATTAATTTTCTATATAAAAATTCCCTTCTTCATTTTTTTAATAAATCCAAGTTTTTATAAATGAATCACAACTTGATGTTGCAAATTATATTTTTTTCTAAATTTCGAATCCTAAAACTTAAATATAAGTAATTGCACTTAAATGGCATTTTTAATATTCACATACTTTAATATTTAAAAACAAGTCCCAAATTTATAAATTAGATGGATCACTTTAACATCCAAGTAAAATAATAGGCTTTTAAGGTTCATTTTGATAAAAATAAACCACTTTTACTGCATCTATTTCGTATATTTATTATTCATTTTCCACTACATTTTAGGCACATATTAAGTTGGTTTTTTTATCGAAATCTTCTGTTTTTATATTATATAATTATATCTAAGTTTCCGCACAGACTTATATTTATTCATTTGTGAAGTCTATTAATTGTGCATTTTGGAAATTTTCTTATATAGAACATGTATATTCGATTTCTTCCATTTACGGTTACCCTCCCATATATTTTTTTATCATACTTTTTTCATATTCCCATGAAGGTAATTCATCTACTTCTTGTTCGCATTATTCGTTTGAAATTCTAGATTATTAATTTGAAATATTAAATTTTTCGAGAGTGGATTTTTTCTATATATTTTATTATTAATCTAATATATTTTTTCTTCCTATAATATACTATTATTATTATTAAGATTTCGTTTGTTACATTGTCTATTCATCTTCTTCATAATAAAGATTATTTTCTCTAAAAAAAGCCGCTTGTTTTCTATTTTTACCTCTTTCATGTTAAAAAATAACATCCATATAGTATTAAATACGCTCTAAAATTGGATTTTCTTTTGTTTTATATTCTGGACTTCCTTCATCTTGTGTTTATAGTTTTGTTAAATGTTTAATTTCATTTTCGAGGTTTTCCTCGAAAGTTTCTATATTTCTCAATAATTTGGAATAGTTTTTATGTAAATTTTCCGTAGTGGAGGGGTCTTGGAGTTAATCTTATATTTTTAAAATAAATTCGACGATATCTTCGATGTCTTTTGTTTATTTTTTATGCTCTCGTTTAAGGTTTTCTAATATTGTAAAACGGTTTTAACTTTTTAATATTTTATATGCTTTCTAAAACTCTTTTATAGATTTTTTTTTGCATTCCAAAGCCTATTCTAGCCTTTTTATTTATTCACTGTGTTTTTATTATATAATATTTGTCATTTTCTAAATAAACTATATAGTCTATTATTCCAATACTTCTTTTCGAATTTATATTTATTTTTCATAGTCAGTTAATATGTCTTAAAATTTACCTATATTCATACCGCATTTGTATTAAACTATATTATTCATGTTATCTTCGGCTTTTCTGCCAAATATACTATTGAACCATTGGTCTATGTTATATATACTTGCTTAATGAAGCTAATTATGAGTTTTTTTGCATTTTTTACATATAAGTTTTTAAAGACAGTTTTTTTCTGTACATATAAACATTAAGTCTTATGTTTAATGATCTTTAACTTTGCATTTATATTCTATTATTTGCGAATGGTCTATAGGTAGTTCGGTATTTTAAGAGTTCATTAAATATATATATATTTTTTATAATTTTTACTTTTAAATTGTTTAATTTTTTTATTTTTATTTTATTATTAATATTTTTTTTATTTTTTTGGTTTTTTTTTTTTTTATAATTCTTTATATTTTCAAAGGATTATAATAATTAATTTTTATTTTAATTTTATTTGTTTTATAAATTTTTATTTTTTTATTCAAAAATCCTTTGTATTTTATAACTAATAAATATTTATTTTATCTTCAAAAGAATATTAATATTATTATATGAAAACTGAAATATATATATATATGTATATATATATATATATAAATATATATAAATATATATTTATATATAGCATATATAAAATAAATATATATATTTTATTAATTTTTAATTTAAATATATTTTTATTATTATTAATACTTATAATTTTTTCATTTTTTATATTTATTTATTTTTATAATAATCTATTTTCATTTTTTTTTTTTTATTCTTTCTTTATCTTTATTATTAATTTATTTTATTTTGTTTTAAAAAATAAAAATAAAAATAGTCATATTAATTTTTAAATTCTTTTTAAATATAATAATTATTAATTTAAAATATATTTTTTAAATAGTTTATTTATAAAATAATAAATTTTATAATTTTAAATTTATTAAAATAAAATTTTAATTTAAAATAAAAATAAAATAAAAAAATCAGATTATGAAAATTTTTAATTAAAATTGAAATTATTTCTTTATTAGTAAAAAAATAAATTTAAATATAAAAAATGGCTCTAATAATTTTTTTTTTCTATCAATTTATTAAATATTTTTTTTATTTTTTATATATAATTTAATTAAATTTAACTTAATAATATATTATATATAATAATCTATTCTATAATTTACATTTTTAAAAATTAATTATATTTAACATTTTTTCTAATATATTTAATTTTAGTATATATAAAATATATATTATATAAGGTTCTATTAAAATATTTATTATTTTGAACTTTTTTAATTAAGGAATTTTTCTACTAATTATAAATTCAAATTATATAAATAATTTATTTATTTTTAATATCTCATTATTCTTATTATTTCTTTTAATTTATTTAAGATTCTTTTATTATATTTTATTCTTTTTTAATTTTTAAATTGATTTCTTCCATTTATAATTATCTTTGTTATTATTTATTTATTATTTCCTCTTCAAACAACTAATTTTTTATTATATATGTTTCTCAATAAAAAAATAAAAAATACTTTGACTAAATTTTCCCTTTATATAAATTTAGCTATTTAAATAGGAGTTTTATTACTCTAATAAATAAATTAATTAAATAAAAAAAAATATAATATAACCATATTCAAAGCATAATAATCAGCTCCTTTATGAATTAAATATTTAATTATTTTTAAATTGC